AGCCTCCATCGTCGCCGTCGTCAACATCTTGGTCACGTCACGGGCGGGAGCTCTGCTGGACGCGCTCGTCTTTCGGCCGGATGAAATATTCATGGCGCCGCGTCGTCGTCCGGGTGTCGCTTTCCCGCTCCCTCCGGCGCCGGCCGATGATGGAGCCGCGGGTCGCCCGCAGGCGCCCCGCACTGCGGCATCGGTGCCTCCTCGTCGTCCTGGGACAAGAGCGGGCGTCGCCAGGAGAAGACCGCTGAGAAGAGGAAGCGGAGGAAGAAGAAGAAGAAGAAGAAGAAGAAGAAGATCCATTAGCGTAACGTGGCTCCGGGCAGCCTCATCGGAAGCATACTGTGCTGGCGAGGACGGCGAAGGGGAGCGGGCGGGAGGGAGCGGGGAGGGGTGGAGGGCGGTGGGGGGTTTCGTCGCAATGCAGACATGCTTTCGGTGCCGTGGAGAGAGAGAGAGAGAGAGAAAAATGGAGGAACAGGCAAGCGGGAGCGAGAGAGGGCAAAAAAAAAAAAAGCGTGACAGAGAGCAAAACGTCAAGCGAAGGAAAGAGAAAAACAGAACGAGAGGCACGGACAGAAAAAGACGGCGAGAAAGAGAAGAACGGAGTGAGCGAGGGCGAGTCGGGGGGAGACAGACTGCGGGGAAGAGACGGCAACCGGAAAGACAGACAGAAGAGCGCAGAGCGAGAGACCGAAAGAGAGGAAGCGAGTGAGAGACAGAGACCCAGGGCGAAAGGGAGAGACAGAACCGCTGAGGGAGAGGGCGACACAGCAAGAGACAGAAAGCGCTCCGGAGAGAAAGAGCAGCGCCGAGCCGGAGCTCCTCCGCTTCTGCTCCTTCCCGGCCTGGAAAAGAGGCGCTGCGTTGCCATGGCAACGGCAAACGCGCAGTTTCACCCGGGTCGCCCGTCTGTTGTCGTGACCCTCCACCTCAGCGGACTTTTCAAGGAGCGCCGGCGAACGACGCGCGCGACGCGACCGGGCCGGCTCGTCGGCAAGCGGAGTTGACCAATAAAAGACCCCAAAAAGCAAACATTAAACGGACATGAAAAAGTCTTTTTGGTTTGTTTTTTTTTGGTTCAAATCTGGAAGGAAAACCTGGCGTCAGAAGTCTCCCGCAAAGCGACCGGCCTCTCCGACAGCGATCGGATGAGTTTTGGGATTAGCTCGGAGTTGTCGGCTAATTGCACGTGGGGCCCAATCAAAAGAACAAGCTACCCACGCGTGTTGTGATGCGTACAAATGTCAGCTTGTTCCCACACGCTCCAATGACGTTGAGCTCAGCAGCTGTGGCGAGGACCCTTCGGACCCCCCCCCCCCATTCATAAAGGCACAGAATGCTTATATAACGAACCACCTCATTCGGCGCGACTATTTTTAGCACACGTGGCCAATTTGTCCTTCAAGAGTGCGGGTGAGCTATTCTCGGCAGCACGGCATGTTGGGGGGCTACGAACACGGCACGTAAACATGCTAAGCTAACGCCGGGGTCACAAAGTCGGGCCGAGGCGGAATCCGGGTCTGCCCGATCCAAGGCGCCGGATCTTTTCGCAGCGTGCTAAACTGAGCTATGCTAAGCTTGGCTACACCAAAGAGAAACTTTCGAAGCAATCGGAGAGGCGAGCCAGTCTTGAGGGAGAGAGAGGGAGCGAGTGTCAAAGCGAAGCACACAAAACGGCGCCACGTCAAGGTTGGCGTAGGCCAAGCTAACATGGGCGGCGCCCAGAAAGAATCATCGATTGAGTCCATCAGTTGAGGCTTATATGGACCGTCCACTTTTGCTTCCTGCATGCGAAGATACGCTAAGGTTGGCGAGGGGACAAACACATCTTGAAAGCCACGCAAACAGCATGTGGAAAGCGAGGTGTCTCGTACTCGCATGAAATATTCACATGCCGCACCTGGGCTTGCGCCCCCCCCCCTCTCCGACTCACTGGCATAAGGCAGTCAAGCGTGACGGTCGGGCGAAGAAAAAGGACGACGGCACCGCCTGCTGGCTCGCGCGCGCCTCCGCAGCCGCGGTGCTAGCGGCCTGCGCGCGTTGCCATGGCGAGCGGCGCTCTGCCGAGGGAAGGGGACGCGCCGAAAGTCAGCCGCACGGGAAACAACCGTCGTGCTCGCGACGACAAGACAACCGGGGCGATATTTGCAACCCCGCGACAACATGATGTGAGCGTGTTGCGCCGGGACAAGACCCCTGGCCGTGGCGTGACCACGAGACGCTCTGTCCAAATCGGGAGGCCGAATTTGGCACAACGTTCGAGGCGCCTCGACGCGGCCTCAGTTTCCACGGCGACACTTGAGCAAAGGCTGCTCGGGAGCGGGCTTTCGTGGCAGCCATCACCACCACCACAACAACAACAACGCCTCAAGACGACAAGAGCACGGCACGCTGTCGGTGACGTCACAACATCAACAAGAAGACAGCGAGGACCGACGGCTGGGACGACTGCCCTCTTGTGCCTGGCTCGCCCTTTGCGTCCTGTCACTGAAATAGCAGGCTCGAAATGTTCCCGTTGACTTCCTGTGTGTGTGCGAAATCTTCCTGAGGGCCTCCACACACTCTGGAGGGATGGGGGTTGGGGTCGGGGTCGGGGTGGGGGGTGACGATCACGCCTTGTGAGGAGCGCAGGATGCCGATTGGCTCTGGCTTCCTGCGCTCCCATTTTCCACTCCAGCGCTCATCCAGCACACAGGCGGCACGTGCTAAGCTAACGGCCACGCGCTCGCAGGCTCCCCTCGCTTTGGTTTGGGGTTTTTTTCTTCTCATCTGCGAGCGAAGATCATCAAGCGGGAGGGGGCGCCACCGACAGAAAGCTCTTGACCGGCGCTCGGACAAAGACGTCGTCATGGCTTCGCGCGAGCGACGGACGCATTTCGAGGCCTTTTTGCACTTAATGCGTCTTTTAATCTGCCACAGGAAGCGAGCGCTCCAAGTGAGGTCGCCGGTGTGCGATGGCCCGCAGGGGACTCACATGAGGGCGAGCGCCTGTGATTGTGCGGCGACTGTTACCTGTTGCCACGGTGACCACTCCCATCCCATCCCATCCGGAGAGACCGGACCGGCTGCAGCTCCCACGTCCCCCGGCGAAACTGGCAAACGACAGGCACAAATATGAGCGTGATTCCAAAGATGGCACTTCCTCACACGGCAAACGACAGGAGCGCTCCCTCAAGTACTCGGCCGTACGATGACGGTCAGGGATGTGATCAGGGACGCCCTGAGGCACTTGAAATCCGAAATCCTGAAACCAATCAAACTCAGTTTATTTGATAAGGATAGCTTGATGGCGTTTGCTTCAGTAGGACATTTCAAGTTCAATGATTTCATGTGATTAAAATAAATAAATATTTGTCCCCCTCAAGTATCGGTGGCTGGTATCAGCAGCATAAACGAGTGCCCGATACAATCAAACAAGGCCGGTATTGGCCCAGGACGGTTCCGCGGCATCGTTACTCGCCCGGTGTCCAAATACGGTCGCGTCCAAACGGCAAGCCGGGCCAAAGCAAACGTTTTCAAATGACGTCATGGCGAGCGTGTGATTTCTGACTGGACCTGAACTCACCGCCTGTCAGCCCGAATTAAAGCCATCGCGGGTCAGCTTGCCCCGCAGCGCCCAAATACGCACCGGCGCATGCGCAGCGCGCACGCATGTCGCGTGTGATGGAAAATGCGATTTGTAAAAAGGTCCTCCTGGTCGCCTCCTTTGTGTGGATGCTTTTGCCCGTGGGCCACGACGACTCGCGTCGTTGTTGTGAAGTGTGTGTCCGTGTCCATGAGGGGGGGTCAGCGTTGGTTAATGAGGGGGGGTGGATGCTGATCACGATCAGGCTGCTGCTGCATTAGACGAGGAAAGGGGCTAAATATAGCATTCATGCTTTGTTTTCTTAATCCGACCGCAGGGCAAAGAAAGTAACCTTCTAAATAGGTCACCGAGTGTGTGTGTGTGTCCAGTGTAAGTTTGGATGACTGAGTACATTTGAGGTTGGTCGCTCTTAAAGGGCCAGCGTGGACAAACGGCCAAGTCCAAAGACGAGGACAAATTTCTCAAGGGGGGGGGGAAGTTGATTTTGGCAAAAAGGTCCATCCGCTAAGCCAACGTGCGCGTCATCTTGTCGAAAATGACGAGGACACGGACGGGCCCGATTTGCACCAGTCCAACATTTTTCCTCCGCACTGAACTCCATCAACGGCGGGGACGCAAAGATGTTTGCTGAGTGAAAACGGCAAAACACAAAACGGGAAGCGAGGGAGCAAAGAGAGGGAAGGAGCGAGCCGCGCGCGCGTCGGGGGCGGGCGGCGGGGGCGGGGGGCGGAGCGACGGCGCTCCTCCGGCGTCCCGGCATTCTGGCCGCACTCCTGCCGGGGCTTCATCTCCGGCGCGTCCCCTTCCTCCTCCCGCGTCTCTCGGGATGCCGGCGGGCTCCGTCAACAAGTGCGCGTGAGGAGCGAGGCGGCCAGGCAGGCGGGGTGGGGGGGGGTTGCGGGCGGGCGACGGCCAACGGCGCGGCCATGGAGGTGGCTCTGGTGAACCTGCAGGAGAACGGAGGCGCCAACAACGCGCAGCAGCAGCAGCAGCACTCGGCGCTCATGGACGACTTGGGCAAAGAAGTGAACGCTCCTCTTCATCATCAGCAGCAGCATCCTCATCCTCCTCCTCCTCATCCTCCCGCGTGGAAGATCAACGACATGAACAGCGCGCTGAGCTGCAGCGAGAACGCCATGGACGCGCTGCTGCGCGCCGACCACAGCCCGCACGTCTTCGACGACGAGCTCCTGGACCTGGATTTGGACTCGGACAGCAACGAGCGGGTGCTCATCAACATCGCCGGCCTGCGCTACGAGACGCAGCTGGGCACCCTCAACCAGTTCCCCGACACTCTGCTGGGCGACCCCGCCAAGAGGATCAAGTACTTCGACCCGCTGCGCAACGAGTACTTCTTCGACCGCAACCGGCCCAGCTTCGACGGCATCCTCTACTTCTACCAGTCGGGCGGCAAGATCCGCAGGCCCGTCAACGTGTCCATCGACGTCTTCGCCGACGAGATCCGCTTCTACCAGCTGGGCGAGGAGGCCATGGAGCGCTTCCGCGAGGACGAGGGATTCATCAAGGAGGAGGAGAAGCCGCTGCCGCGAAACGAGGTCCAGAAGCAGGTTGGTGTCCGGC